CCATCCATCACCTGCCCACCTCCATGTGTGTCACACCAGGCCGCCGCCCATCACCTGCCCACCTCCAGGTGTTCATACCAGGCCACCATCCATCACCTGCCCACCTCCATGCAGGTCACACCCACCCCTACCTGCTTGTAGTGGGCCCGGACCAGCATGAAGACGAACCCGCGGTCAGTCAGGGACAGGAGGTCACTGAGGAAGAAGGCAAGACTGGTGTTCAGGTGCTCGGCCAGCTCTGCATCCTGGGGGCACAAAGGCTTGTCAGTCAGTGCCCTCACTGGGCCCACACTACAGTCACCCCAATACACACTGTATCCCCCTGCAGCCTCACTGCACCCCACTGTGCCCACACTACAGTCACCCCAATACACACTGTATCCCCACTGTACCCCACTGTGTCCTCACTACAGCCACCCCAAACACACTGTATCCCCACTGCACCCCAATACACACTGTATCCTTACTGCACCCCACTATAATTATCCTAATACACACTGCAGGCTCACTGCACCCCCACTGAACCCGCATTACAGCCACCCTAACACACACTGCACCACACTGCAGCCTCATTGTACCCGCACTGCAGCCACCCCAATGCACACCATTATCTCTACTGCACCCCGCTGTGCCCACATTCATTCACCCTAATACACACTGCACCCCACTGCAGCCTCACTGCGCCCACACTACAGCCACCCCAATACACACTGCACCCACACTGAGGCCTCACTGCCTGCACTAACACACACTACCCCCACCCTGCTAACACAACGCCATGCCCAGGCTGCCCCTCACTGAGCCCACGCTGTGCCCATGCTGCCCCTTCACTGCTCCATGCCATGCCCAGGCTGCCCCTCACTGAGCCCACGCTGCCCCATCACTGCTCCATGCTGTACCCACGCTGCCCCCTCTATGTGTACGCTGCACCTTCACTGCACCCGCACAAGGACCCTGAATCGATATCTGAAGAACACGGACACATGAGCATGGAGGCAAGAGAGACACTCAGAGGGAGCAAGCAGCTTGCCCAGGATTGGCCGGAGACCAGGTGGACCAAGAGGGCTGCAGGCTCTCCACACTGCACTCGTACTGCCCCATGATGTCCTGTGCTCCACCCACAACTATGCCATCACTGTACCCACACTGCCCTGTGATGCTTTACTGTCTCCCACTGGGGCCACACTATCTCACACAGCACCCACAGTGCCATGCACAGTCCCCACTGCCCCACACTGTGCCCACGGCCCACACTGCATGCACAGCCCCACACTGCATCCACGGCCCTCACTGCATCCACGGCCCTCACTGCCTCACTGCCCCACACTGCATCCACGGCCCTCACTGCCCCACACTGCATCCACGGCCCTCACTGCCCCACACTGCATCTACGGCCCTCACTGCCCCACACTGCATCCATGGCCCTCACTGCATCCACGGCCCTCACTGCCTCACACTGCATCCATGGCCCCACACTGCACCCACTGCCCCACACTGTGCCCACGCCCCCACACTGCACCCACAGTCCCATACTGCACCCACGGCCCCATACTGCCCCACTGCATCCATGGTCCCACACTGCATCCACGGCCCCCACTGCCCCACAATACAACCACTCCACAGCCCCACACTAAGCCCAGGGCCCTACACTAAGCCCACAGCCCCACACTACACCCACGGCCCCACATTAAGCCCACAGCCCCACACTGTCCCCACTGCACCACACTAAGCCCACAACCCCACACTAAGCCCACAGCCCCACACTGCCCCCTGCCCGACACTGTGCCCACAGCCCCACATTGTCCCCATTGCCCCACACTGCACCCACTTCCCATGCACTATAGCCATACTGTACCACTACCTCCCCTCTGTTCCCACTGTCAGCCCCTCTCCATTCACTGCCCTGCACTGTACCCACTGGCCCTGCACTAAGCCACACTGTACTCTCACTGCATCTACTACTCCACACTGCACCCTCCTTGCACCCACAGAGCACTCACACTGCCCCAGAAAAGCCTCTGTCCCTGCACAGATCCCAGGGACCTTCATGAGTTCTACCACTGTCCCAAAGCCCACAGCCTCCTTGCCACAGCCTGGTCTCTGGCCACTCCTGGCATCCTGCTTGTCCTCCCTTTGACCCTCTCCCTTCCCCACGCTCAATGTTCAGAGATCCATTCAGGACTCGTCTTTCCTGTCACTCAGACTTACCCGTTGTAGAGCGTAGCCATGACACTCCCTAAGCGCCTCTCGACCCCTCTGGTTCAGAGATTGGAAAAGACTACATTTCCCAAGCTCCCTTGCAGCTGAGCACACCCAGCGGCCACATGCAGCCCACAGGATGTGAGAAGTAAGGTGGACACGTAAGGAAGGTCCTCCCCCTCCCCTCAGCCTCTAATGTGGATGTGGTGGGAGCCATGGTACATTGCAGGACCAGGCTCACTTCTGCTCAAAGATAAAGTCTGGTCATATCTAATCCACTTGTGATGATGTGAACTCAAATTCACCTCTAATCCAAACAGGAATTTTAAAAAACCCAAACCAACTTCAAATTCACTGTCATGGAGTCCATTCCAAACCACTGGGACTCTCTACTGGGTTGAAGGCTGAAAATCGCAACAAGAGAAGACCACCCATCTTTCTCCTTCAAGGGCGCTCGTGGACTTGACATTCAGCTGTTGGCTTAGGACCACGACTTGCTATGGACGGAGTCACCGGGGCATCTTCGACCTAACCAGGATTCTCTCCCTCACATTGCTGTCAAGTTGGAACCAATTCCTGGAGACTTTCCATTGGATTCTGGAGGCTGAAAACAGCCCAGGAGACAGTCTATATTTTTTTTCTTGGAGCTGCTGGGGGATTTGAACGACCAGAGGCACCACCTTCAGGTCAGCAGTACAACCCTCTACCCACACGGCTACCGTGGCTACTAACCAGTTGTTGTTGTTGTTGTGTACCATCAAGTTGGAACCGACCCACAGAGGGTTTTCAGAGACGATAAATCACAAGGCAGGAGATTACCCAACCTTCTCCTGAGGAGCAGCTGGTGGATCCGAACCATGTGCTTTTGGGATTGCAGTACAGCTTCTTACCACTAGGCCACCAGAGCACCCTACAGGTTACCAGTCTTAAGATACCTAACCAGTCAGCCCTCATTAATGACTGAACATTCACTGGGCACCTTCTAGGTGCCAGACCCTGTGATCAAGACAGACAACAGAGATTCTTCTATGTGCTTTGAAGAGCCCTGAACAGAGAAGGGGAAGGGCTTTCTGTGGAGGGAACAGCAGGTGCAAAGGCCCTGAGGCAGGACATGCTGGAGTGTGAGGGACAGTGAGGCACTCATCCTGCCGCCCTGCTCCCACAGTCACCCCGTGGCCTGATTTTCTCCTGAGTTAGTCTCTGTGGCCTTCAGTTCCCTGCCACCCAAAAAACACAAACGGGCAGGAAACACGGTTGTCTGTGCACGATGCCTCATACAGTAGATGCTCAATAAATGCTGAGAATGACAGAAATGGCCAAAGCCTGTCACTGAGCTGAGCTGTGACCCCCACTATCAACTGAGACCACAGTGCATGGTGGGGGTGCTGGACCTCCCCGCTGTCCTTTCTGGGGGTAGGGAGTGCTGGACCTCCCCGCTGTCCTTTCTGGATGGGGCTGCTGGACCTCCCCGCTGTCCTTTCTGGGGGTAGGGGGTGCTGGACCTCCCCGCTGTCCTTTCTGGGGGTAAGGGGTGCTGGACCTCCCCGCTGTCCTTTCTGGGGGTAGGGGGTGCTGGATCTCCCCGCCGTCCTTTCTGGGGGTAGGGGGTGCTGGATCTCCCCGCTGTCCTTTCTGGGGGTAGGGGGTGCTGGATCTCCCCGCCGTCCTTTCTGGGGGTGTTCTCCTCACAGCCTGGCTTGGTCCCTGGGAACACGAGCCCATTGGTCAGGCTCCAGGGAAGCAAGGCTGAGACCTTTGAGATGAAAGCAGAGGGTCGCATGGGGCACACAAGCTGGCTGCTCACGTGAGATTTCAAACACGAGAGAAGCTCCCATTCCATCTGCAAGTCTCATTTCACTTCAAAACTCAAGACTCTCTGGCCACGGCCGACCCACATTCCACAGGGTGCTGGCTGGATGAGTGGCGACCACCCGTTACACACAGGACGTGTCCTCAGGTCCACACCTCCGTCCCCGCCCTCCTGACTGGAGCCGGTGGTGAAGGTGGGAGCCCAGGAGCTGGAGGCTGGGATTCAACCCCTCACCGCTCGTGTTGCATCAGTTTAAGCTACTTGCTCCCTTTGTGTCTCGGCTGCCCCTCTCTGTCCCTCTATTGGTCAGCCTTTTGTCCTTGTACACGTCAGTGAGTGGGTGACGTCACAGCCAGAGGGCCCAGGTCCGCTGTCAACCAGGTGGGAAAATGTCAGAACAGATCTGTGCTTCACGCTTTTGCTAAGACACTGTTGGCGCTTCTTAAAAGCACGCTTGATGGAAATCTCACCTTGGTGCCCTCTCCTGGCGTTTAGGCTCCCCTCTGCTCACGTCTGGAAGGAATGGTCGCAGACCCTGTCACACACACATTAAGGAACTCAAACTGCTTCTCTGCACTCTGTCACCAGAACTGGGGGCTTCTGACAACAAAATACTTGGGTCCTCTGGTAGACGTGGATCTATATTTAGAAATCTCTCACACACAATCCTATCCATTTTACTCTCTTCTCTCTCTCTCTTTAATCTGTATTTGTCTTCTTTACTGCTCATTATTCTTGCTTCTTAGGAGCTGTGCTGTCAACCTGAACGCACACAGTTCAAGGCCACGAGCTGCTCCATGGGAGAAATGGGCAATCTCCTTCCGTGCGATTTACTGTCTCTGAAAACCTGCTGGACGGTCAGTTATGGGTTGGTTCTGACTCAACGGTACACAACGACAGTTTATATGTGAGAGAGAGATTCCAGTACTAACTCCATAACCTTACTGAAAGAATTGAACGATGAATCCAGACATGCAGTTGTTGTTGTTAAATGCTGTCCAGTTGAGTACGACCCATGAACAACAGATGTGAACCCTGTCCTATCCTGTGCCATCCTCACACTTCCTGACACACAGAGCCCATTGTTGCAGTCACTGTATCAACCCACCCGGTTGTGGGTCTTCCTCTCCTTTGCAGACCCTCCACCTTTCCAACCCTCATGTCCTTCTCTATGGAAAAGTCCCTCCTTAGCAACATTCCTAGAGTATATGAGGTGGTGCTTTCCCATCTTTGTCT